ACCCCTGAAATCGGCCCAAACTCTCCCTCCAGTGTTGCTCTCCAGGGAGCAGCAGGGCCGGGAAGGTGCCCGGAGGCAGCCGTGCCCTGCTCGGTGCCGTGCCAAGGGCAGTGCACAGCGTGTGCCATCTCCTGCCCCCCTCCACAGCCTCGCTCCCTGCACGGCCCTTCTGTGGAGCTGCTCCACGGGTTCAGAAGTGACCAAACAACATCTTCCCAAGGGGCCTTTGAAAACACGTGTTTCCCCAGTGTTTGGGCATCGCTTTGCACTGTACTTGGTCAGAGTGCACTGGAAGGAATCTGTGCTTTGTCTCTGTTAGCGTGGTGCCCGGTACAATCTTCTGGACGAGTTGTGCTCCTTTTCTAGGGGTGGTGTCTCTCATGTTGGGGTGTACCCCCGAGCAGCAGAGCAGCTGCTCTTCTCCCAGTGCCCTGCGCTCGCCCGCGTTCTGCTCTGCCTTCCTGGTCAAGCCAGGGGAATGGTTTTCAAACGACTCTTTTGTTTCTGTCAGCGTTTTGTGGTGGGGGTCAGTCCCTGGGTGAGCCCTGGCAGGAGGGCTGGGCCCGAAGGCGCCCGGGGCCGGGATCCCTCCCGGGCGGGGGCGAGAGCCCCGCGCTGCATCCCACGGTTTCACTTCACTGCTGCTGCTGCAGAGGGGGTTTTACCATGAATAAGAGTGTTTCAGCTCCATCATGGGTTTGTGAAACAAAACCACAATTCTTAAAAATAGCGCACACACAAAAAATCCCTCCTTTATATTTAGGGTCAACTTCTTATGCAGAAAAGATCTGAGGTGGTTCCTTTTAGTTCTGTTTTCTCTTTCCGGTTAAGCTGATGATGTGGAGTACATGGGAAGACACCCCCCCTGCCCCCCGCCCCAGCCCTTGTGGCCCGTTTTCTGTTTCTCTGAAAGTTGTGTTGTCAGAGGACGGAATTTTGATGATTTCTTCATAATGTGACATGGTTTCTCACTGTTGTGTGTGTCCAGTCGAAGGGACCGTGCAGTCCCTGGGGAGTCGCCTGAGCTGCTTTCAATCAACGGGGGGGTAGAAGCTGCTGCTTTGGTAGATGGTTCCTGTGCCATTGTTAGTGTTGGCTGGACAAAATACTGATTTATCTGATAATTATAAAAGCCTTAGGCTCTCAATGCTAAATAAATTATACATTTGGATATTGGATTAAGAGACCAGGCAGTGCAGATTTACTGTTAATTGTGTCGGCCCTGAGGAGTCCAGAGTATAGAATTAGTGGCTATTGATACATGTAGAGAATTAATCTGAAGGGTCAGACCAAATGGTGCTGGTGCTGCAAATGGATGTTCCTCCCTCTGCAGCACCAGGAAGGGGCCTCCTGAAGAGCACCTGGCCAGGTCCTGAACTGCCTGTTCAGCCACGTGGGGTGAGGCCAGGTTTTAACTCGTGGTTCTCCTACTCTGCCAGGAAATGGCTCCTTGGAGTCAAGTTTCTGGAAAGTGCCTTCTCTGCCACTGTCTCGGCTTCTGGAAGTGTAACTGGCCAGGGCTGACCAATGGAGTAGTCAGGAAAATACCTACCTCCTCTTGCTGATTAATTCCTATCATAGAATGCTTAAAATTTGCCACTCTTACGTCAGTAGGAATAATTCCAGAAAATGTAATTGGTAATCAGCAGGGCTTGGTTATGTGGAATTGGAGCCTGGCACATGTGATCTGTTGAAAACCACCATCCCAGGAATTCTTGCACAGATTGACTCAGATTTCTGTTGCGATGAACAGTCAGTGACAAACTAGTGGATTTTCCAGGAAATGCAACTGCAAACTGTCTGGCTTCTGTGTAAGGTTCTTCTGAAACCTTGTGAGGATCTAGTGTTTTATCATGAAGCAAACGAGTGAAGTCATCTTCTTGGAATCTGTGGTCACTTGGGCTTTGGATTGTTGTAAAACCTATGAGTTCCTCATGACAAATTCTGGTAAAAGTCGCAATCAAGTTTCTTCTTGGTTTGTGGTAGTGGCAGCAGGGCTCAGGATGGGTCACGAGGTGGTGGCTGCCGGCTGGCCTGAGGGGCCTGGCGTTCCTCCAGGATGAGACCAGCTGCTGGGGTTCTGTCTGGGCAGCAGTTCGGACTCCTGCTAGTAGGAGTGGAGACCAGAACATTTTCTGTCAGGTTTGGAGGTGTAGTTCAGTCCCTTGCTTATGGATTCCTGGATCTTATGGGAGTTGCTGCTGCTAATTGTGCTGAAATGTGGTTTTGTCATGTGGACAAACTCCTACCAGGAGATCTTGTATGACTTGATCTATTTGCATGAAGCCTCCAGAGTAGAAAAGATCCATTTGCTTCTTGTCAACCCTTAAGTGTGACTGTTAGCAGTAAGCTGATTCTTCCCCAAGTGACTTCAAAGGAGTTAAATTTGTTCTGAAATTTATTTTTGACGAATGCGTTTCCTGCTGTCGTTTCCCTGACAGTAACTTTGGAGTTTTTAGGAGAAGTCCTGACCTTCTTTTAGTTCCCGTGCAGGCTGAGTGGGATCATCGTGGAGGGCCAGCTGGTGTTCTTGGCTGTGGCCCTTGGCTCAGGAGCACATTGGTCCTTTGGTGCTCGCCCTGGTGCTGTGACTGTTGCTTCTGCTGGGGCTGTGCTCGGGCCCTGTGTGTGCTGTAGGTCTCTGGGTGAAGTCTGAGGAGCTGAGGCGGTTTTCTGTTTTAGTAAAGAACTTTTAAATAGCATGATTTTAAAAACCTCTTTACCTGGAGTAGAAACAGCTGATCCTTAGCTCAGTGGAGAGCTCAGCTGGACATGGAAGTGACTCGTGGCCAGGCTGGCACTGTGTGTGTGGCAGGGACAGTTCAGGAGTGGCTGGTTACAGGTACAGCTGGTACAGCAGCAGCAGCGCCAGACACCTCACCTGGGGGGTTTGGAGAGCTCATGTCCTCAGTACCTCCAGCTTCCAGCCTGTCTCCTCTCATGTGCTCCTCTCCTGGTGACAGTAGTTTCCCCTCCTCTGCCCTGCTGGCTGGGGGAAGGAGCTGGTGAAGTGGTGATCTCTTCTCCCACCTGATGCCCATGTTTTTCTGCTTCTAGGTTTGGCTGTGGTGGTTCAGCCAGGATTATGCAATGGGAAAAATGTTCTTGCAGTTGTGGATCCTTACAATGTGTTAGCCAGGCTGCAGCTTGATCTTATGTGCACTAGGAGGCTGTTTTTGGGGAGCGGATGGCCCACCATAAGGAATTTCTCCCGTCTTTCTTTCCATAGGTCATCATGGCTTCTTCTAGCCCCACTGCTCACCCCTCCTGTCCCTGTGGTCACAGCCCCGCCTTGCTTGCTCTGTCCAGAAGGAGCACACAGGTTCCAGTGGATCAGGAACCTGGTGCCAGAGTTTGGGATCTCCAGCTCACGTGTCAAGGTGCTTTCATCTCCGGTTGAATTCTACGAACTCTTGAAGGTGAGAACTTGATTCCAGCTCTCCTGCGTCTGGGTCTTTGGCTCCCAGGGATCACAGAGGCCAGGGATGACACTGAACTTCTCTTCTGCTCCTCCCAGGTGCAGATAAAAGCAGCCAAGCAGCGGGTGGTGATGGCTTCCCTGTACCTGGGAACGGGGCTCCTTGAACAGGAGCTGGTGAGTGTGGAAAGGGTTTGGGAAGGGAAGAAAGTGGCTGCAGAAATTCCCATCTTTGCAAAGAGCCTCCTGTTCTGCAGGTGCAGTTAGCTTGGGATGTCCTTAAAGCTTTCATTTGGGAATGCACTTTCTTTGTGTTTTCCCCTCTCCCCAGGAGTGTTCTCCTGGGTCCTGGCTGCGTTTGTGTCTCTGTACTTGGGGTGCAGGGAGGAATTTGGAGGGGAGGTGGGGGGAGTTTCTGTTTCAGGCCTAGTACTGATCTGTGGAACTCCTGAACCTTTCAGTGGGACAATGAGCCTGGTCTGTTGGACGGTTCGAGGTTGCTGGCCTGGTGTTCAGAGGTTCCTGCAGAGCTGGGGGTTGTGTGACTTCTGTTCTGGTGCTTTTCTTGAGCGTGATGGCAGTGGGACGTGTGTAGTGCTCTGTCTCCTCCCAGTACAGTGCACAGAGGCAGTGGCAGCTCTCTGCAGTTAGGACTGAGGTCAGGTTTGCTCCATGTGTTTTACCTTCCCTGTTTCCTGTTCTTCCCTCTGGAAACAGAAGCATTGCCCGAGACCTTCAGGAAGAAGCCTGGCCGTGGCAGTTTCTGATATTGGAGTGCACAAGGGGGTGAAGGGGCACAGGGCCCTGCACGGGGCTTGCTGCCTGGCCTTGTCTGGGCTTGTCTGCAAGGTTTGGGTTGGTGTGTGGCAGGTGGCTGTGTGCTAAAGGGATGAAACTGTCCCTGCATCCTTTGTGAGCTCCCGCCGAGGTGCCTCCTCGGCAATGCAAATCCACGACTCGGGAATGGTGTTGGGACTTTTTCTGCAGGAATTAATTGCTCTTGGGAGGCTTGAAGAATGTGCACATGTAAAATCAAAGCCCTTTCATGTATTGCTTTAGGCTGACAGAGTAGGATGCCAGTCTGACAGATGCAGAGTCTAAACCTGCAGTGTTTTGCATGAGTGGGAGACTCGTACTGGGGTGTGGGAGCTTTTGTGGCCACCAGCTTCCTGGCTGCTGAACACTTTCCATATAAAACCTAATTTGCTTTCTGTGATGAGTAGAGAAAACTCTTTTTGCAGGTGGATTGCTTAGAAGAAACACTACAGAAATCACTGCAAGCGGAAGGATTGTCTAACCTCAGAGTTTCCATTCTCCTTGACTACACCAGGGGATCTCGGGGTAGGTGTTATGATGCTTTGCTTTCTTTAAAGGCTTATTTTACAGTTTAGGGTGGGTAAAATTCTTTTCAGAGAGAGGCTCTCTTGACCAATTGGACCTACTTGCTTAATCATTTCAAAACTGGCCTTTTGTATTCAGTAACTCTTTATTCCCAGAAAATCTTCAAGCTGAGCACCTTTCCTTCCAAAAACAGGTGGCAGGAATGAGACGAGTTAAACTCTGCTCTGTGCAGCTTGTGCTTTCCTAGTTCATTTGTGTCTTTGTTCATATTCATCACACAGTCTTCTCTTTTCATTTTGAAAGGAAAGTGGGAATTGTTGGAAGTAGCACCACTCTTAATCGGGACCCTTTGTGGTGACTTTTTGTAGCATGTGTCACTAGCGTGAGGTGTGGTGTGACTGAGAAGCTGAATGGTGTCTTGTTGCTCAGTGACCCTCCCAGGGCCCATCCATCAAAGAACTTACAGTTCTGGATGTCAGCTTCACTATTGACACAGTACAAGCAAAAGTGATTAAAAAAAAGAGAGAGAAGGAAATAGAAGAACGTGTTGAGTCCCAGCCGGTGAGCTGGGTGCTTGTTGTGTGCCCAGCTTCCAGCCGAGGAGCTGTGGTGCCTGCCCAGCGTGGGGTGGCCCCGTGTGACAGTCCCCTGGTCCCCCAGGCAGGAAGAACTCCCGGACCATGCTGGTTCCCCTGCTGCAGCGCTTCCCCCAGCAAGTGCGCGTGTCGCTCTTCCACACGCCAAACCTGCGTGGGCTTCTCAGGCTCCTCATCCCCGAGCGG